CTGGGGCGGGGAGCAGAAAGCCGAGCAGGGTGCTGAAAACAGGGTGGGGAGGGAGCGGGAGATGGGGCTGGGAGCAGAAAGCCGAGCAGCAGGTGGGAGGAGGGGAAAGTGGGGCGGGGAGCAGAAGGCAGAGCAGCAGATGCGGGATGAGCAGGGGGTCCCACTGGGGGGGGGGCTGAGTGGTTGCACACCTCCTGCAAGGGTCGCTCCCTAATGCTCGGGCAGGGCGGGATGTTCTGCAGGGCACCCGCGGGCCTGATCCCCTCCCCGACAGCCTGCAGGGTTATGTGGCGGGTGAAGTGTACAGCGGGATCCCTGACGTCCGAGCGAGTTTGGACTCCGTATCCCCAGGATAAGGTGCGGCGAGCAGGACAGCACCAGCAGGCAGCCCTCAGGGACGTACCCCACTTCACTGAGCTTCAGTCTGGGTGGAGCAGGATTGTGACCCTGGGCCCATGGCAGCTGCTAAACCGAATCTTTCTGAACAGGTCGTACAGTAGAGCCCGACGGGCGACTCTGGGGTGCAGGTTTCACTGACAGGTCTGGAAAACGGGAGCGGGTCGTGCATGGCACGCAGTAACGTTGCCCCGCTGTCTCCTCCAGCATTTAGCCAGCGCAGAAGCAGCGGGATACAAGGCAGATGCGACCGCTGGATGGTGGCGGGCAGGTTGCAAAGCTTGGACGCTTCCTACCACCGCAGGAGCAGCGGCGTACATCCAGTCGCGTGGTCTTGATAGACCAGCCTGCCTCGCGGCCTAAACCCCGAGACCCCACAAAGGCGTATTCGCCCCCTCATCAGGCCAGGTTGTCCTTCGAGGTGGAGCAGGAGCAGAGAAGCGGCCATGCTCAAGCACCCTTTGGCCATCAGGTTTGCAAACCTGCAGCTTCCAGAGCTGCTCGCTTCCCAGGACATTAAGCATCAGTAAAGCATCCATCACGGCCTGCGCCTGGATTGGAGTCGGCTGTTGAACAAGACCCGGTGGATGACTTCTGATGGCTTAAGACCCTGATATTTTGTAGCTGTTGAGGTCAAAGGAAATGAAATCGTTCTCTTTTAGCTTGGTTTCTGGTTCCTGAGGGCAGAGCAAACGACTAAGAAATTAACTGCGGTGCAGGGCGTTTAGCAAAAGCATCTGCACCATTTTTAAGCCCTCAGCCTAGACCCCCGACAGCCAGGGATGGGGCAGGGAGCCTGGCCTGGCACAAAGCAGAAGGGCCTGATGGTTTCCCACGTCTCCTCACAGGAGCGGGAAGGATTTGTCATCTACTCTCTGGTGGAGCTGGCCACGTGGCTTAAGCCAGACCAGCTCGGCCCCATTGAAACCGGCGGCTGCTTTATGCCAGCTCGAGGCTGGAGGGTGTCTGACGGAGGGGCTTTTCCGTGCAGACTCAGACTCAGGCTGTGAGACGCAACCTGCCCATTAGCGCCCCGCCAGGCAACCGCGCGGGGTCTGCTTATCGTCAGGAGCGTCTCACCGGCTGCCCGTGAGATGGGGCCACGCGGCTGCCGAGCCGGGCTTTGATGGCAGCGATTATAGTTCCTTGAATCTGTAACGGTGGGAAGACGGAGGGATGGTAATTCCGCATTATTATGCAGAAACATGCGGCGCTGGCAACGCCGCGGGTAAACACAGCAGCAGGAAGACATTAATCTTTGCACATTAACCGAAGCGTTGGCTTGCTGCGTTCGGTCGTGCACCGCTGCGAGCACCGGGTAGGCTTGCTCCTTCCCTCTGCTGCAGGTGCGCCAGGCCCAGAGGATCCTAGCGGTCCCTTCTGAACCGAGTAGCCGGGGGTGATGCTGAGCTGGGATGTGGACGGACTGCGTCCTCGTGCCCCCACCCCATCCTCTTGCCCTGTTCATCCAAGGTCCTTCATTTGTTGCGGTAGAGCTAACCAACCTGTCCCGAGAGCCCGCATTTTTGGAGCAAAGCCTCAAGCAAAACCCTCAGCCCGCTCTCCCTGCTGCTCTGCAATACTTCTGCACATGTAGAGCCCAAGGTGAGAGGAGCAGGCCCAGGCCCTAGCAAAGTCCCCCTTTCTCGGCTCTGCACCAGACCCTTAGCTGGCTTGGCTTGGTGTCACGATGCATTGCAGTGCAGGTTCACTTCCCAGCTCTGCCACTGGCCTGCTGGCCGACCTTGGGCAAGTCACCTCCCTGTTCCATGCCTCAGTTTCCCCAGGCTTATAATGGGGCTGATGAGAGTGACCTCTGAAAAGTGCCGTGCGATTTATGACACAAAGCACTACGCGCCGATCGGCAGCTGGGGAGAGCTAGAAATTCATCTCCAGCGCTGGCATAGCACCAGCCCGCAGCGTTCCTCCTCCATTCCCAGCTGGGATTTCCTTTCTTTTTTTAAGCTTTTAGATACGTCAGCGCGTAAATGCTCCGGGTTTGGCGGGGATGTTTCTTATTACGTTGATCCACTTCCCCACAAAAGCTTCTGGTTGCCGTGGGTCTGACTTTTAATTGCCTTGTATTTGAATGGGGGTTTCTTCTCCCCTTTTCCTTCCATCACCTGGAGGTCAACAGCTTGTTTAAATTCAATATTGTTATTGACCTGCCAGAACTTGGCCTTGTGTATTTGTCTTCTAGGAGGATCGATGCCTCTTTATTCCCAATGTGGTTAGTATTGACTTAGCAGAAAGATTGTGCTGCTTTCTGAAGCACTTCTGTATGGAGAGGACCCTTGTGTTGATGAGAGAAGGCCCTTTCATCGGGTGAGAAGCAGTCAGCTTCACGATGCCCTATAGATTCGGGATTTATAGGCCCCTGTGTTGGCCTCTAATGCCTGTCTGGCATTAGCGACATATTTCATAACAATGCAGGTTGCGTTTTGTCTCGACAAGCAATTAAATTTGGTCTTAGTTAAAAAAAATAAAATAATAAAAATCTTAGCTTTGGGTGGCCAAATTTGCAGCTGCTATGAATCAGCACTTATATCACTGGGGCTCTGCTGATTTGGAGCAGACAAAGATTTGCCCATGGGTGTTTCATGTGAATCAGGAACATAGTAATGATCCTTGTCATTCTTTTTCCCATATACTTTGCTGTTTTACCCGCTGCAAGTCTCCTCGGGTGCCGTGGGGTAAATGCACAGCGGGTGCTTTGTTGCCGAGTCCTTGCATACGCTGGGTTGCATCTGTGGGCTCAGTCGTGAGCCGCGGGCGGGGTGGGCGAGCCGTGCATGCTGGCTTGCCGAGGGGCTGCTCCGAGCGCCAAGCCGCGTGGGCTGCTTTGCAGCATTGCTGATGTCTGTTCATTTTCAAACCCGGCAGAGTCGGCCACCGAATTTTCTTCAGTGTTCGTGCTGCAGCCGGAGCTGGGCCTGCCGATCCATCTGGGGTGGGCAGCTGTGATGAGAGAGTCCCTACTCAGAAAGCTTGGCCTGAGAGCCATCGCAAAGCGCCCGCCTCCGCTCACTCCCGCTCGCTGGGCAAGGTGCCCAGGGCTGCTCCTAAGCTCTGCGTGGCATGAGTATTGGTTTGCACGGAGTGGAAGTGAATGGGTGGGGGGCGCTTCCTGGCGCAGGAAAAGGGAATCGCAGTGCTTTAGCTGGGCGAGGAAGCCCCCAGCCACCCCCTTCCCATGGGATCGCTCTTTCAGCCAATTTGGCTCCTGCGGTCCTCTCCCCTTGCTTTGCAGAGAAAGTCCCACCATTTATTGCAAATGCAGCTGCGCATCTCGGGCCCTGGATTCAGCTTTTTATAGCCCCCGGGGGTTTCATTGCCCTTCCCAGCAGGAGGCTGCGTGTTAACGGCATTGCTCTTTTGGTCGCAGGGTCCCCCACGGAGGAGAGACATGCAGTAGGAGCCCGTGCGTCCCGTCGACGAGCGACGCTGGCTCACGCCCCGCGGTAGCGCACAGCAGGACAAAAGGACTCAGCAGAGGACAGGAAATGCAGAGAATCAGCTGCCTCCTCATGGGATTTCTCTTAATCCTCGGTGCCACCAGCATGGAGCATTTGGCCCGGTCGGGGTAAGCCTCCTCTTTGTCTGTACTGCGGAGGGCTGGCCTCTCACGCGCTTTCTCGTTAGGCCCAGGCGGGAGCGTCTGTCTGTGCGAGGCGATAGTCCCAAGGAGACGCAAGAGGCCACGTTCAGCGAGTCGGTGGAGCGACTTGCAAGGTGCTGGCAGAGACCAAGGGACGTCTGGCAGCTCCTTCTTGCCCCCGTGCAGGTCTCGGCACCTTTTCTGCTGCCTGTTTGCTGTGCCACTGAAGCAGACGCACAGCTCGGGCCGCTGCGTTTCGGGCAGGGGGTTTCTTTGTCCAAAATGACTTCTTGTCACCTCTTTCATGTAAGCACACGCACACACATGCACACCCTACGTTCAGTAGCCCACCAAGAGTAGCCTCATCCATCCTCCTGTCTCTAAAACAGGTTTGTGTATGATGGAGCTTCCTGGCCCCAATTCTTCTTTGTCCCGAGCCCCCCGTTCGATCAAGGGGAATTGCTGATACTAGTTTTCTTCGTGGACGCATTGGAAGCAAGCGCCTCCATCCAAAGATGCTGAACGAAGATGTTCAGATTTGAGCTTTTTGAAGGCATGCAGCCACCTCTCAGCTCTTTTGGGAGAGATGTGAAGCCCAACTCTAAGGCCAAACTTCCCAGCCCTTGTCATGCCAGGAGGTCTGGATTTGACCAGCCTAAAAATTCAACTCCGGTCGCCCGTCAAGTCGGGGCATGGTTGTATTCGGGCCACAGCGTTGCGGTTCTGATCTGCCTCTAGTTTGGTTGTACGGTGAAAGTTATACAGCCCTTGCTACGCTAGGTAATCGT